TCCATCCACAGATTGTTCTGGGTTCAGAAAAGCAATTCTAACCTGGGTTGGAATTCCTTCTTTGAAGAATTAACTGGATTTCACAGTGTAGTGGGCAGGGATTCTGGGGGCTGTTGCCATAGTTAAGCTGCTTCCTTGGGACTTTGTGGTTCTCCCTGTTGTCTTTTTGCATCCTTTCCATTTCCCTCAGACTGCTTTTTTCCCACCCTTTAGTGACCTTATAACCAGGTACATTGCCTAATAGTGTACAGCAGAATCAGAGTGACTAAAAAAGAACAACAACAAAAAAAACCCTTAACACCTGTGTTACTTTCAGGAAAATGCCCACTAAGGACATTAGCTATCCTGCTGCAGTAGTTTGTTAAGTCAGATATATTTTAAATAATCTTCTTTTGTGTGAGTTGAAAATACTTTTTCATATAACTTGCAAATATTTTTTTGGTAAAATTTTTATTTTGGATATTACAGTTGTCTCCTTGAAGTATGCCGGCTCCTTTTCTCCTTGCAGTTTGTCTTCACTTCTGTAAGCCCAATAACGGAGTTGAGAATGTAGCCTTTTCTGTGTGTCTCAGCTGAATGGGCTCCCTTATGTGGTTGCTAAACAGGCCACACTGCTGGAACAGAAGCTGTCCATGCCCACCTCAGGTCGAGAATTCTCTAGGATACAGACCTTCTAGTTACCTCTGTTGTTGTTGTTGTTAGCTGCTGTGGAGTTGGACCCGTCTCATAGTGACCCCTCCTTAGGTTTCTGAGGTGTTATCACTATGGAAGTAGATTGCCCCATCTTCCTTCTGAGGAATGGCTGGTGGGTTTGAACCACCAGCCTTCTGGTTAGCAGTCAAGTGCCTTAGGCACTATGCTACCAGAGCTCCTAATGCTGCTCTAACAGAAATACCACAATAGGTGTTCTTAACAAGCAGGAGTTTATTCTTTTACAGTTTTGGAGGCTGTAGTCCGAGTTCATAGTGCCCGGCTCTAGGAGCTGAGTGAAAGGCCCTCGACCTGGGGCTTCAGCTCTGCCTCTTGCTCCTGGCTCACTGAAGCTGGAGGCTTTCTTCATTCAGGCAGCTGCTGGCTGCTGAGATAGACAAATCCAAGGTTGACAAATAAAATGGCACAGTCCCAGTATTACCACACAACACGACAGGCCACTGAGATAAAGATTCAGCCAAATGCAGAGTCTGAGCGTGCCAAAAAGCTGCAGGCCATTCCCAAAGCTTCTCCTTACGTACTGGAAGCAGACCACATCCCTAAAGCAGCTACTCAGCTGCTTGCGTCAGATTCCACCTTGGAGTTGACTGCCAGTTTCATCATGAGGAGTCACTGCAACCAGCTGCCCAGCCACTCAAAACCAGGCCCAGCCAAGTTGACACATAACCTTAACTACCACAGATATCATTCAGCTTTATTTAGTTTGTAGAGCTTTCATTGCTTTTGAAAGCATTCTCTGGTTCTACAATACAGTTACCATGCCTGTAAGCTTTAGTATGAGTTTAATTTTAAGAAGTGTTTCAGCCCAAGGCATTCTGGTGCCTGGCTTTTATTCAACCAGTTTCAAATACATAATTTTCTTAAAAAGTGCTGCGAGATAAATCCTCTGTATAACTTTCAAGTTTTCATGAAAAAAACCTTTAACAAGTACTACTAGCAGACGTGTACCTCAATAATAATTTTATCTAACCAGGATACACCAGAGTATGTAATATCATTAGTATATGGACATGCGTTTGCAGAGAGGTTATTTCTCCTGGATGACTGTTCCTGAAGTCCTAATTATGTGTGACATTAGGCAGGTTTGTTTGTTTGAAAGCAGAAAAGAGTCCATTCGAATCAGCTGTAGGTGCAGATGGAAGTAAAGTTTAGAAATGGTACCGTTCCTTTACTTCTAAGTGATATGATTAAAATCAGTGAGCATTTCTTTGAAACTCTGGCACTCATCTTGCTGTTAAGTCTTTTTATCACTCTGACTCTGTTGTGTACTCTGTTTTGTCATGTATCTGGTCCTAAGCCACTGACAGAGGGTGGAGAAAGGACTCTGAGATAGTATCTTCACCCACGAGCTGATTAGGTTTGTGTGCTACATTGAAGGTGCCAGCCTGGGGGTGGGGAGAGGGGAGCTGCCCTGCTGGAAGGTGCTAATTCAACCTTCTGAATAAAGGCCAGCACTTAAGTACTTTAAAGGAGCTCCGGTGGCTTAGTAGTGGGCATAGTAGGTTCGGCAAATGGCCGCTAACCAGAAGGTCTCTGGTCAACCAGAAGTTCTCTGGTCGGGTTTAAACCCACCAGCTGCTCTGGGGGTGGAAGATGAGGCAGTCCACTTACATAAAGATTTACAGCCTTGGAAAGCCAATGGCAGTTGTCATGAGTCAGAAGTGACTTGATGGCAGTGAGTTTGGTTTTTGATGTTTAAGTACTTTAAGAGGGTCTGCTCTTCCTCCTCCCATACCATTTTGATGTATTTTGATAAAGCAAGTATGAATAAGAATAGAAAAAAAGAAACATAATTGAACACAGCAACGCTTTTCTTTCCAGGAACCCTGATTTCCAGATAGCGAGGATGCCTTCATTTTACTCTTTCTCTTTTTTTCTTGCTCCCCAAACACACACACTCCTTACATTTACTTGATATGATATATATGATAATATGACTTCTGCAAAAACAGCAGTTGACTTCTTAACACTTAAGAAAAATGTTGCATGTAGATACTGTGTGGCTTTCTCTAGAGTTGATTTCTGCCAGTTGACTTATTCAAAAATGATAACTTTATCTGCTTTTGGCACATACTTATTGGGAAACGCTTTAATGATGTCAGTAGTAAAGTTTTAAATTTGATGCTTAGAGACCGTTTATGAAAGAAGACATTCAGGCAGCTAACAAACACATGAAGAAATGCTTGCCATCATTAGCCATTAGAGATGCAAAACAAAACAACAGTGAGATATCATCTCACCCCAGCACTAATAGCAAAGTTAAAAAAAAACAGAAAACAACAAATGCTGGTGAGGGTATGGAGGAACAGGAATGATGCAACCATTGTGGAAGACAATATGGTGCTTCCTTAAAAAGTTGGAAACAAATACCATATGATCCAGCAATCCCACTCCTAGGTATGTATCTTAGATAACAGCTGTGACAAGCAGATATATGCATACCCCTATTCACTGTAGCACTACTTACAGTAGGAAAAAGATGGAAACAACCTAAATGCCCATCAGCAGAGGAATGGATCAACAAACTGTGGTACATACCTACAACGGCATACTATGCAATGTTAAAGAACGATGATGAATCTGTGAAACATCTCATAACATGGATGAACCTAGAGGACGTTGTGCTAAGTGAAACTAGTCAACCACAAAAGGACAAATATTGTATGAGGTAACTACTATAGGAAGTCAAGAAAAGGTTTCACACAAAAAGATATATTCTTTGATGGTTACCAGGGGTAGGAGGGGAACGAGGGTAAAAACCACTAACTAAAGGGTAAACACATATTAACTTGGGTGAAGGGGAAGGCAAAGAAAGAAAGAAATCTGATGCTTAGAATCCTGGATAAACGGAAGTCAGGGCTTCTAAGTAAAGAGATTAGCATTTTTTCTTCATTAACCCTAACAAATAATAAAAAAGTTTTATTGATACTCTGTCAATACAAATACTAGGTAAAAATTTAAGGGAAGATTCTTACGAGTTTTCAAATAACCTTCTTTTGTTTCAAATACATCACAGTTGCTTCTGTTTGCAAGTTCCCTCAGCAATCACTCCTCCCCCCCCCCCCCCAATCTCTGTGACCTCATCTTCTGGCACTCTCCTTCAACCCACCTGGTCACGTCACCCTTCTTTCCTGTTAATGTGCAAAGTTTGTTCTTGCCTTAGGACCTCTGCAATGGCTTGTTCCTCTGCTTGGAATAATCTCCCCACCATATCGCCACCTGGTTTGTTCCTTTTTGCCATTCAAGTTTCAGTACAAATTCCATTTCAGAAGGTGTCCCAGTCTGAAGTAGCTGTTTGGTCACTTCCTATCACATTATTTTGTTTTCTTCAGAGCACATGTTGTTGTTCGATGTCGGCAAGTTGGCTCCAACTCATAGCAATCCTGTGTACAACAGCACAAAACACTGCCCGGTCCTCTGCCATGATCCCCATCTTTGCTGAGCTGAGCTCATTGTTACGTCCACTGTTTCAGTCCATCTTGCTGAGGGTCTTCACCTTTTTTGCTGACTTGACCAAGCATGATATTCTTCTCCAGGGTCTGGTCTCTTCTGACAACATGGTGAAAGTACAAGAGATGAAGTCTGGCCATTCTCGCTTCTAAGGAGCATTCTGACTGTAATTTTTCTGACAGATTTCTTTGTTCTTTTGGCAGTCTGTGGTATCTTCAGTAGTTTTCTCCATCACCTCCATGCAGAGGCATCAGTTCTTCTTCCATCTTCCTTATTCATTCTCCAGCTTTCACACTCATATGAGCTACTGAAAATACCATGGCTTGGGGCCGACACACCTCAGTCTTCAAAGTGACATCTTTGCTCTTTAACACTTTAGAGAGGTTTCTTGCAGCGGATTTGCCTAGTGCAATACGTTGTCTGATTGCTTGACTGCTGCTTCCATGAGCATTGATTGTGGATCCAAGTAAAATGAAATCCCTGACAACTTCAGACTTTTCTTCACTTACCGTGATGTTGCTTATTGATCCAGTTGTGAGGATTTTGAGCACATAGTAGTAGCTGGGGTTATCCTGTGTATTTTCACATATGTATTTTCTATCCTCCTCAGTGGGACTATACCCCTAGAGGGCGTGACCTTTTGTCTGTTTTGTTTGTTACTGTGCTCCCCAGTGCTTGCCACTGTAAGAACTTAAATTTGTGAGGCAAGTGATTAAAGGTGAATGAAGGACCAGGGAAACAAGCCTTTGTTGATGACTTTCTCTGGGCCTTGTAGTACCTGGGTTATTTTCTCATGTCGCCTAATCCTCCCCACTCTAGATGACTCTAATGTATTAGCGATGAAGAAGCTGAGGTCAGGGAGAACTGCTTTGAAGCCTGGCATGAGTCCAAGGCTGGGCACTTAACATTTATACCAGCCTGTTTTTCAGGTTTGTGACCAGTTAGTGGGTATCAGAACCTCCAGGGAAACTCTGCCACACGGCCTGAATACTTCCATGTGCTTATCTATCTGAAGGAAGATTTGATCAAGATCCAGGCCTAGGTGTAGGGAACACTTGGTGCCTTGTCTGCCAGCAGGGTTGTTTGGGTCCTCTAAGGCTGGTTGGAGTTACTAGGAAACACCTTCTAGATAGGGAGTAGTAGGTTGTATGGTAGTTCTGTGCTGAGTCATTGCCTCATGCCCAGTGGAAGGAGAGTTCTGGGAACCAGACTCACTTCTCCAAAGGAGTGCTTTCTATACTCAAGGTAGTACTGCTGTGGCTAGATGAACTCCTAATACCTGTGAGTGGTCTCAGGTCTTCAGACACCTTGAGGTCATACCCTCAGGCCCCTAGATCTCGATGAGTAGGCCTAGCCTCCAGCAGTTCTGATTTATCTTTTTAATCCTCCTCCCAGCAATACTGTTGAATTACAGTTAATAAAATATTTTCCATTTTGCAAGGAACTTTTTAGTCACCTCCCTTTTCTGTCTCTACCCTTGCTTCCCATTTACAAAATGCACAAAACATTCTTCCAGGGAAAAGTAGAATATTGAGAATAATTATTTTGACAGAATTAACAAACCAGTTATTTTGTCCCAAGTATTGGGGCAGATTGATTACTTAACACTTAGTTACTTTGCAGGGGATTTGAACAGGCAGTGAGTCTTAGTGCGTATAGCATGCTTGATGTTGTAAATTGACCTAAAGTAAATTTTATCTGGTTCTGAATCAGATAGATGTCTCATTGCAGAACTTCATCTCATTAGTTTGGAGCTGAACTGTAGTTGTAAAGGGTAAACGCTGGAAGTAAATCTTTCATGCCATAATGAGTTTTTAATAAAATAAATGAAGAGTTAAAAACAGGCTTTTCAGAATTTCAGTGTGATTACAAAGGCAGTACACCCTCGTCTCAGTTGTTGGCATGATTAGGTTCCAAAGACCAATTGTATGCAAAAATGGAGGCTGACTGCATCATTACATAATTGCCAAACTATTAAGGATCATGGTCCACTCAGGTTGACACATAACCTCAACCGTCACAGTTAGCGTTTACACTTTGGCATTTATTACTGCCAGACATAAGTCATTAATATGAAAAACAGCCAGTAGATTTTTTACTATTGTTGTAAATATGAAATGTCAAATAATCTTACACTAAACATGATTCTAGAGTAATTACTTATCTGAATTGATATTCTTCAATTAATGATAGAATTATTATATTTCATGCTTATAGAATCCTGAGATGGCTTCTGAGCATATTTAACCACTGAGGTGGTTTTTGGTAGTTTGTGCCCTGGTTTTTATTAAAATTAACATACTTTAAGTATAGAATTTTTAGCTAATAAAACTGTGTGTCCTAGTTTGTGGTGGTTTTAGGCAAATGTGGCTGGAATATAAAACTAGAAGGTTTATTATAGATGGTGACAAGTTGTTTTTCTTCCTTTACAGTTACACATGGGAAGCTGTTGATATAAAAAATAAAATACTTTATACAATAAATGTCTGTGGAAATGGGGCCATTTCCCATTGTGGGCCGTCAAGTGCTATTTGTATGCACAATTTGAAGACAAACAGCTATCATTCAGTGGGTAAGTAAAGCTATTTTAAATTATTATATGGAAAATATAACAATTTTATAAAAATTACATACATACAGTTACATGTTTCTCTTCATAATATATATAATGTATATATGTTATATATATGTTGTTGTTTTTAGTTGTTGTTTAGACAGTTCTGACTCATGGGAACCCTATGTGTACAAAGGAGAACTGCTCCACAGGGTTTTCAAGGCTGTGACCTTTCAGAAGCAGATTGGTAGGCCTGTCTTCCAAGGTGCCTCTGGTTGTATTTGAACCATCAGCCTTTTTAGCTAGTTGTCCTGCTTAACTGTTTGCACTACCCAGGGACTATGTTACATATGTATATTTTATGTTTATAAGTGAAAAGTGGTAACAAATTAGATGTTCAAAATGAGATCAGAGGTTACTTCTTCTAATCAGTCATAGAAATCATGTGAGTGTATATTTATTAATAGAGAAATATATTTCCTAAATGGCTTTCCCTTCCATTATATGTTATGTTTTTAAGTATCTCATTTATCATTCATCAGTCTTTTGAAATAGGTAAAATACTTTCACCAATTTTACAAATGAATGTACTGAAGCACAAAATGCTTAAGCAGCTTGCCAGAGATTGTGTGGTCAGGCAGTGCTGGAGCAGGGTCAAATGCTCATTGCCTGACTCCAGTATTTGCGTGGTCACCTAGGACTGTGTTGTCTTGTGGATGGATCATAAGGGTACATCAACAATTCTAGATCTAAAATGGGAACCATGATGGGAAACTGAAACCCACAGCTCTGAGAGGACAACAGAGAAAAACTACCTTCTTAGGAGCTTGCTAGAAAGGAAAAAAATGTGAACTTTCAAAACAGCCACAAAAACTGGAGGAACAGAATAGCATAGAAGTAGATCCAAATATAGGGTATATATATGTGTGTGTGTGTGTGTGTTTGTATAACTGAAAAACTGGGTGTAATTAAGCTATTAATCTGTTCTAAAATAAAGCTACACCTCTCCTTCATATCATATACAGAAATTAAAGATAAGTTAAACTTCAGTAAAATATAAATATAATCTGGAGGAGACTTTCTTAGAAATCTGGAATCCATAAAGGAAAATATGAATATATCTGACATTTTGAAGGGAAAAAAAATAAAAGACAAAAGATATATACTAGACTGGGAAAAAATCAGTTTATGTGCCAATGTACTAATAGAGTAAAAGTGCCTCTTAAAAATTGGTAAGAAAGACAGATAACCGGGGAGGAAAATGGCAAAACTGAAGACCAGGCAGTGCACAAAAGAAATCCAGATGGTCAGTACAACTTGGTAAGCCATGGGTGTAAATACAAGTCAAAGCAAATTATGAGATCTCATTTTTCCCTATCAACTTGGTAGAAATTTAAGATGGTTGAAGGATAGAGTGTTGGCAACCAATTGAAACCAAACCCACTACCATCAAGTCAATTATGACTCATAACAACCCTAGAGGACAGAGTGGAACTGCCCCATAGGGTTTCCAAGGCTGTCTACGTTTATGGAAGCAGACTGTGCCTCATCTTTCTCCTGTGGAGGGGCTGGTGAGTTCTAACCACAGACCTTTTGGTTAGCAGCTGAGCACTTAACCACTGCACCACCGGAGCTCCTTAGAATGCTGACAGGGAGGAAGCCTGGCAACAGGCATACTCATGCTGATAAAGGAAGATGGTTGTCTATAACTCTTTTTGGGAACGTAATTGTTGATAAGAATTTTATAATGCCTTCAAGGTCAGTTTTTCTACTAAGAGAAGACTATTAAGACTTCAGATTTTGCTTAAACAATACTAAATTATTTGAAATGAGAAAAACTACACTAATTCTTTCCTGGGAAAATAATACTACATATATGAATCTAACAGATTTTAGTAATCATTTTTATGGGCTTATAAATAACATTTGGTCCCACTTACCTAAGTAACCTAGTTAATTAATCATAGGCATTTTATAATAATTTTATATGTTTCTTTTAAATGTCTGATTTAATAATTAGAACTTCAGTACTAATAAGAATTTTTATAAACTTAATAGTTTAAACTTATGAATACTGTGGTTTTAATTGAACTAATTTTTCTTAGAGCTCAAAGCTACATATCCATTACAGGAAGACTGTAACCAGCCATTTAAATGAGATAATGTACCCTCTAAGGGAGCATTAATACAGGTTATGCAGTATCAGAGCCTGGGATTCTGCCTGACTTCTTGCTAGTGACCTGGATAGGATGTAGTGAATCCTGTTGTACTTCTGTGCCAAGTGACTTCATTACTCTAAGGAGCCTCCCTGACTTCGGGTGATATATTGTCTGATTCTTATGTCTACTTACAGAAATCTATTCCAGCCATCTAGGTTAATCACTGGATAGAATTTTGCATCTTTTTGCCCCTTAAGATGTGAAAATATCTTTTCCTTTTAAATCCCATATTTTGTCATTTTCTTATAACCATGCAGTTCTGTTGAGTAAGATGATATCTTGTTGAGTTTTGGATATAACTCATGTTTTTGTCTGATTTGTGATCTGTTTTGATTGCCTGGCATTATCTGTTAAAATTTAAAACAAGTGTATGTGTGAAAATGGCAGTGGTGTTATCAGACCTCCTCACCTAACTTCACAAAGGAAGGAGAGAGAATTACCATTAGCATCAGCCCAAGGCTGATTCCTATGTGGTGGAGTTCAGATATACTTCCACCCTTCAACCTTTTTAACAGTTTTGATACAAACTGTCCATACTTCCCAGGGCACTCTACTTCTCTGTAGGGTTCAATAATTCATTGCAATGGCCACACAGAACTCATAGACCATACTCATAATTATGGGGCTTATTTGTTGTTGTTGTTGTTATGTGCCGTTGAGTAAGACCTGACTCATAGCAACCCCTCCTTGGGTTTCCAAGGCAGTATTCACTACGGAAGTAGATTACCCAACCTTCTTTCTGAGGAGTGGCTGGTGGGTTTGAACTGCCAGCCTTCTGGTTAGCAGTCAAGTGCTTTATGCAACCAGAGCTCCAGGAAAGTAATTTAGGATCAGGAATGACATGGATTTAGTTCTTCAATCAGGACAGCTGCTTCTTGGCTGTGCCCACAGGTAGGCCGCTCTTTCTCTCTCTGGTACCTCAGCTTGGCCTCTGCCCTGCTCAGGCAAAAGTAACAAAGCTCCACCAGTGAGTACCCAGAGGCACACCAGTCCTCCTGCACAAAGGTGCTCAGCTCTCTCACTCACTGGGTTGGCAGGCCCATTATAGCTGCCTTGTTCCTTGGGCCAGGAAGCCCCTTGTGCTATCTTGGGGTAGTCTCCTGCTGGGTCTCCTGGTAGGTTCTGCTGCTGTTTCTCTGCCCCTGGACTCTGCTGTGCTTGCTGCCCCTTCTTGCTACTGCTGTGCTGTTTCCTGAGACTAGGAGGTTCTCAGTGCAAGGACCCTAGATCTAACGGACATACTCCACTCCTTCTTGATGCTAGTGAGGTCCCCTCTCTCTGCATCTACAAGTGGCCTCTGTAAGCCTTGTAGAGTGACAAAACTGACCAATCTACTCATTAGTGTTCCATATACCTTATTTGCATGGTCCCATCATTTTGTGGGAGTAACAAGAGGGACTTAATGGCCCTTAATAGAAGGGCCATATTATTAAGTAATTCACTGCAGTGCAATACATAACCTAGTTCTGTGACTCTAACCAATGGAAGAATTGGTACTATATGTACATATTTGCACAGTCATTTTAAATGTAATATTGTTTATTGTTTTAGTATAGTCTAACCCTAAGGGGATAGTTCAATAAATTGGACATTTTACTTTGATATAAAATAGGCTAAAAAGTTTCTGAAAAAGACATAAACCATAAAAACCTAAACTAAAAACACTGCCATCGAGTTGGATCTGACCCACAGCGACACCTCCTTGGGTTTCCGAGGCGGTATCACTATGGAAGTAGATTGTCTAACCTTCCTTCCGAGGAGTGGCTGGTGGGTTTGAACCGCCAGCCTTCTGGTTAGCAGTCAAGTGCCTTAGGCACTATGATACCAGTCCTCCTGACATAAACCATGTTGTTGTTGTTATGTGCCATCGAGTCGGCCCGGACTCATAGTGACCCCTCCTTGGGTTTCTGAGGCAGTATCACTAAGGAAGTAGGATTGCCTAACCTTCCTTCCGAGGAGTGGCTGGTGGGTTTGAACCGCCAGCCGTCTGGTTAGCAGACATAAACCATAGCCAACACTTAATCTTATTCATAACAAATATTTGAGTACCAGTTTTATCTGGAAATGCATCAATAGCCAAAACAGGCAAAAATTTATTTTCCCACAGAGCTTACATTCTAGTACGGTGGGTAGTCTGTTAAAAACAAACATGACTATGCTAGAATATAGCGAATACTATAAAAAAAGAAAAAAGAAAAGGCAGGCGTGCTAGAGGCACAGGAGAATGTGTGCAGGGATAGTAAATGGAAAGAGTGTCACTGAGAAGGCGACCTCTGAGCGTGGTTTTGGAGCTGAGGAAGTACAGCCTTGTGGCTCTGCAGGGAAAGCAGTCCAGTAGAGGTGAGGGGCTCAGTGGAGGAGTCTGTGGTAGCAAGAATGGAAGTCTCTTTTAAAGGGTTAATATAAAGAAGAACAGATAAATGAGGCAGTAGCTGGAGAGAAACATTGGGTGGAGACTATTTTTTTAAAAATTCGGTTTAATACGGTTATTGTATTTTGAAGAGAATGATAACAATAGAAACACGGCTACGTAGAGGGAGGGAAGAGAAGAATTGCTAGATCTGGGCGAATGGCGCAGGGAGGTCTGGTCACGCTCCCTTCGTCCTACCGTGGTCGTCCTACCGTGGTCGCCGTGGCCGTGGCAGAGGCCGTGGAGCACTGGCTGCGGCGCTTCTGGTCCCCAGGCCACCTAGCGGCTGGAGTTGCCGGAGTTTGAGGTCTCAAGTCAGGTGAAGCTGCTGCGGGCTCGGCTGGGCTCGCGCTTCGGGACACCGATGGTCGCCAGCGTGTGGCGCCCCG